TGGGAGAGCTCCTGGATCTAAACTCTTAGATTTTCCCAAGCCTGAGCCATCATCTTGCACTCTCCAGTGGTCTTTTGTGGAGATGACTTAAACTATAGCAGACAGCTTCTGCCATCATCCTGTTATAGTTCAGTCTCTGGTCTCCATCATTTCAGGAGACTGCTTGTAGCTCTGATAGCTAGTCCCTCTTAAGTGTTAGGACAATGTCTACCTCATTACCTTACCACTGACTACATATTTGCTGCCATTTCTAGCCAGGTGAATACTCTTCCTTATGGATATTGTCATTTTGGAAACACATCAACTACCCTCTCTGGGCCCTAGCTGGTGGATATTTTCTAAAGACTGAGGGATTGCTGGACCTTGACACTGTTAATTATACTGGCATCCATTGAATACCCACTAAGCTAGCCCAGTGCTAGTCCAGCCTACAGATAAAAAAGCTGAGGTAAGAAGAGATTACTTACTGCTAGTCTAGAGGGTCTATGGTTTGAATTTCATGTTGTAACAGGTTTTTCAAGAAAAGTGTAGTTCTTGGTCGTGATGCCCGCTTTCCTTGTATTATCTGAATCTGATGTTTTACTCTGTGAAGTTTATTATAATCTGCATTGGATGTGGTAGGCACAAACATATAGCACAACTAAGTTGTCTCTGGACAACTAACTCTGAGGTTTGCACAGCATTGATCTCTGTTCACATTTGTGTTGGTGTTTGTGTGTGTGTGTGTGTGTGTGTGTGTGTGTGTAGGGGATTAAGACAGATGCTTTCATTTACTCGTTCCATCTTGTTAAAGTCATACCTGACATTTAAAACAAACAGACAAACAAACAATCTGAGTTCTAGAAATTAAGCTCACATCTTTGTACTTTGCCAACTGAGCTATTCCCCAAGTACACATCATTCATCCTTCAAGGAAAATCAGCACATCAGGCACAGGGATTCTGAGAAGGCAATTCATGTGAAGACCTCTTTACTCAGTTCAAGTTTTGTCATTGCCGTTTATCTTCTGTGACCCTTGACCAAAACGGCCTACTTACCCTAGCCTGGGTTTCTAGACTTGTACAACGACCCAAGTATGCTTACAGCCTTTTCTCACAAAGGTGACAAATTGTGAAGAAGCACTCTCAATTGTCAAAACCTTGACAAATATGATGTGTTTAACTGTGACAAGATATAGCTTGTCCTGAAACTTAGGGATAGAGAGTGGGAGCAGTAGCTAAATCTTAGGGCCAGTAGGACCTGAATCCCAACAGACTGTTTATTGAGTGACCAGCAGAAGGACAACCAGATTAATGTCAGAGACATAGTCCTCTCAAGAGGAGGTGTCCCAGGTACCCAGGGCCAAGGCAACTTCTGAACAAATCAGTTTTCCTAACAGAACAAGGCATGACATATAAACACTTTTGCCTACCATTTCCTTTAGTGGAGACCAAATCTCACAACAACTTTTAGCCATAAAAGAGGCTCATTTTACACAGAGGTCAATATAGCTTTCTGCTAAGGAAAAATATTTGTCTGTTAACAGCAGACACATAGGGAGGGGCAGGTGTAATTCTCAAAGTTCTGTATATTTACTGTTGTACACAAAGCACTCTACAAATGAGGATGAGGTGAGTTTCCCACCCCCTTACACAGTGTGCCCTGGGCAAGAGATACATGGATAGACTACATGAACGATCTCCTGCCCCTGCCCAGGGCTTATAGCTATACATGTAAGCCAAAAACGCTCAAAAAATAATAGTGAGCTTTAATATTTTTGATCAGTTTTATTGATTTAATTCTTTGAATTATATTATAGGTTATTTTAAAACAAATACAACCTGAGTCTTAAGGGTTGCATTTAGCTAAGATTCCTGTATGTCTAAATCCCAAAAAACTAGGACTTATGCTTATAGAGATTAGAATCAGTAAGCATTGACGCCAAATTCAAGCAAGAAGTAGGACCTACCCACCCCAGTCCCCACAATGATGAATCCCCATTCAAATAACACAAGTAAAGACTAACCTCAGTCCAAAGTTGCTCTCCCAATGAATATACTCAGAGCAGCACTGGAGTTTCCCTAAGCTAATGAGACACATAAAAAGTCAGAAAGATCTGGCTGAAGTATAAATGGAAGCCTGTCCAATTAGGATCACTGCAAGAGTTCATAACCCCTGTCTGAAGCTGGTTGTCTTGGGTTAGATTGGTTACTGATAGCTAAAACCCCACACAGGCCAGCATCTATCAGTGTCTGCCACTGAATATGACTCTTATGTAGGAAAGGTTCTTTGGCCAGGAGGCTATCTCTATGGTTCTTCAAAGAGGCCACTATGGCTGTAGCCGTCTTTGGAGACATTTAGACAGTGACATTTCAAGAGGAGAAACATTCCTTTAGAACTAGATTTCACATTAGGAGAGCTCCTCCTCAAAGGTCACCTTACTTCTCATCATTCCATCCTTTGCCTCTTGTGGCCTCAGTCTCACAGCAAGGGTGGGTAGGGATGTACTCAGATGAACGGTGCTCCATCTTCTGGCCCTCGGGTCTCCCTCCCCCCAGGACACGTGATATGCACAACAGACACAAGGGGCCCAGGAGCCACTCCACAGTGCTGGTAAGTTTTATGGAACATTTTAATGTATTTTTAGTTTATACATTGTACATAATTAGGCACAAATTATTGATATGTTCTTAAAACTATCCCACAGTGGCTGTTCTAGATGACTGAGCAGAGTGTTACCTATGGAGTCTAAGAGTTTTTAGTCAGTGGGTCATTGGGCAACTTTCACTTTGTCCATGGCTAAGAACCTTCTTCTAATGCTCACCTATAAAAATTCAGTGTTGTAAATGATAAGAGGAAAATTTCTAAGAAATTTCATTTGGTAGCTGAGGTCACTGGGACCCACTTCCTAACTGTTATTGGTAGTAGAGAGTGTTGCGTGAATAATAACCCAGGACTTGACTCAGTTTCTCATTCAGGTGAGATGCTACTGTAAAACTGACCAAAGAGTCAATACAATTGCAATAGGCAGATCACGAAGTATTCTAAACTGCGGTATCTCTCAAGAATGGTTTGTCCTGCTCTGTTTGGGAAAGCTAACAGCAAACCTTCCTGATTTCTACAAGGAAGTGATGGACTGAGAGCTATCAGTAAAAAGGCTGAGAGAAAAGGCTATCATATCATGATGGTATATTTATTTATTTGTTTATTATTTTGTGTAGAGGACATAATGTCAAGTAAATAGTGTCTGTTTAAGTTTTAGTCTCTTTAAAGAAGTCACCAAATCTTTAGTTTTGAAGTCCCATTAATACATACAGATCATTTTAGGAAATTAGTCAAGTTTAGATTTCCCAGCAGTAATTAAGATTTCCAGCCGGGGTCAAGTCAAAAAGACTTATTTGCAAAGACAAACAGAAAATGTGTATAACTTAGATGAGCCCAAACCAGGCAAAACCGTCTGTTTTCTGGATGGTACAACCTTCTGGCAGGAAGCAAAAGAGGAAGGTACTGGCCAAGACTATGCTGTCTGGAGGATGCGAGGGCAACACTTTCCTCTGAGGATGCTGACGAGAAGACCAGCCATCTCCCAAGACGAAATGAGACAAGGAGGACTGTAGCTTGGAGAAAAGGCAGGTCTGCCTGCCTAAAATGTTAGATGTCAAGCCCAATACTAAAAGATGTAAGTCAATAGGAACTACACCATCAGAAAAATGTTCTGGTCCCAGGTCTCAAGACACTAAGCAGTCAGGAAGCAATGTGCAAGTCACACAAAAGCTAGTTTCTTGCTTACAGGTGGCCTGTTTTAACTGAAGACATACCAGGCTTTTGCAAAGAATTCCTCATCAAGAGAGTCAAAGGAATGCCGCCCCATCCTGATGTGCTGGCCAAGATCCAAGTACAGTTGGTTACACTTTGACCATGAGAGAAATGTGGGTCGAAGCCACAGCAAAAAGACGCCTGAGCAAAGTATGCTGGATTGTTGCTCCTAAGGGTGTTGCTTTGAGCTGCTAAAGCTATTTGTCCATCAGGCACTGATTTAAATGCTGCTAGACTGTAAGGCAAGAGGAAGCCCTTGAGCTGCTCAGTTTGTGAAGACAACGGCAAGAGTCCTGTGTGCGACAAGAGGGCTAGTTCAGGAAGTCACTGAACATGAGCAGGTGGTCTATGGCACTAGGGCCCTGGACAGGGAGCCTGAAAAAAATGACATGGGTGTCAAACAGAAGGCTATGCTCAGGTCACCCCTAGACTATGATCATGGAACTGGGGGAAAGAATGGTTGGGGGTGGGGCAGCATCTTCCTAGCCATGCATAGGACAGAATGGTAGAGAAGGTCAGGGAAGCAAGGGTTATTATTTGAAGGGTAACTGCTGTCATCACGCTGTGCTGTCAAGCTTGGCCTTTTGTCCTTACAGACACCTCAAAGTCCACACTGACTGGAGTGGATAAAGCTTCAATGTTCTTTTCATAATTTCACTGGCTCCTTCTATAGCTTGCTTGGAAATGAGTGTTGTACACTTGATTATAAAGGAGAACAGTCTCAGTCTGCTGGTGCTGGCACTGGGCTCATACTTGTGCCAGAATTATGCTTAAAAGTTAAGATGTGTGTGTGTGTGTGTGTGTGTGTGTGTGTGTGTATTTCTGTGCCAACACCACACAGTTTCCTGAGCTGAACTGTCACTGGCCTAGGTAGTATTCAGAATGAAGAATACAAGTTTAAGGACTGGCTGTTACCAGGCAGATTTTTATCTCTGGTGTCCATTTTTAAAAATGTTAGACAATATTTTTTCTGAACATTTAAGTAACACTGAAACATTTTTCCTTGGGAGTACATGCATATCAGAAGACAAAAACTTCCAGATAGAAAGGATGCAATATGAAAGAACTAGAGTGCATCTGACTCCACCAGGCACAGGTGTCACTGGAGATCCCTTCCCAGACAATCCACTTTCAAACAGGACACTTTTTTCTGTGAGCTAACAGCAAAGAGACTCTTAAAGAGAATTGGCAACATGAATGCTTACTTGAGCTCTTGGGAACTGGTGGCCAGCATACTTCGAATGCTTTTGTCCGCCAGAGGGCAGCCAGACAGACTGTAAGACAGGCCAGGAGACACAGTGAGTGGACCCCTGAGCAGCAGCAGCACCAGAACAACACAACACAAAGTTGAAATTAAAAGTTCAATGCAGAAGAGCAATGGGCCAAGTGCTGTATACTGAAGGTTTGTATTATTAACTTTGAATGACATCAAGGATATGTTTAAGAAAGCATTTCTGTTAATAATTTTAAGAAAAAAATCAGGCAAAATATACATTCTTGTTGGTTTAAATTTTTGAGAAGAATTTTTGTGAATTTAGGTGGCTTAAGGTTAACAATCCTGTGTAACATGTAAGGTAGCTTGCTATTGAAGGGCAGCATACAGCACTCAGAGGGTTGACACAGAATCCAACATTTGTACTTTGACAGCATTGTTGAGGTAAGCTGAAAACAATAAACTGAAAAGACAGAATCCACCATGAGAAAAATCAAGTCACACCTTCTGTGTGAGGCATAATCACACCCTGGAGTTGGACATCTGCCACCAAACAAAAGCAAAGATAGCCAGAGTAGTATGTTGTTTTTTTTTTTTTTAAAAAAAAAACTTTTTAAAAGTTTCATTGTTTCCAGTTTAGCTGCAATGTCTGCAAGGGGAATTAAGCACCCTGGAGAAAGCTGCAAAATGCATAGGGTTAAATGAAATGGCGCCTCCACACAGTAGAGCATCATGAAGAGCAAGCAGGTGCAAGGTAGCCTTTGAGTCTGCTCAACTGCAGCTGGAGAAATTCCTGGACTGCAAATGGACATGCTCAAATGGCAAGGCATATACAGGTCTGTCCTTTAGAAGGAAGCCAGAAAAGGGAGACTTAAGAAGAGCCAGGATGTCACCTTATGCCATGCTTACGTTATTAAGTCCTTTTTGCTTTCCTTGCACTGAGGATACTTGGGTTTGGGGCTTGGGATGGTCACCTCCCCTGGATACCTTCTTTCTTCCAGAGCCTCCTGGAATGGGTCCAAATCTTCTGGCTGTAGACAGAACACAGTTTCAGAACCACATACAGCAACCAAACTCACCAGCTGAAGGTCCCTGGCTGCAGGGTTGCTCTGTCTGTTCTTTTGCATCTCATATTTAAAACCTAAATGTATCTTTATTGTGATGAGGTCACTCAGAAGACACAAGGTGATATGTCCATGGGCTGCTCAAACTATAGGGATCTTGCTCAGGACCAGTGGATATTCTTGAAACCAGAGAATACCTGTTTTGTTTGTTTTCTTTTCCCCATCTAGAATCCAGGACTTTCCTGTACAGTATGCATATGTGTGGCTATTGTAAGAGACATCTTTCTTAAACAGGGCTCTGCTTGAGAACATTTTAGAGTGGCCAGTCAATGGTTAGTATTTCACATACATGCACTTTTCTACATCAAGGCAATGGAAGACCAACTGTGCTAATATTGTAATTTAAATTATTTTTAAGAAGTAAGGTACCTATTTTTGGTGATTCCACACACAAGAAACCTAGATTTTCCTAGAGAGGACAATGTTCACTATACATGTTTCCTGAGTCCATGCTACAAGCTAAAAGGCAAGTTTATTTCTGAATTGTCTATTATGAAGAGGCTTTTGTTACTGGAGGGAGGCTTAATTTTAATGAAAATAAATTCAGACACTATTACTTCTTTCTTAATGGCCATGGTTTAGCTGTGGGACAAAGAACCCTTATATTTAGCTTGACATTCAAATTTGATTCCATTTATATAAAGCTTAAGTATTTAATTCCATTGGAAGATGAAGGATAAGAGCCTGTAATGGTTTTAGTCGGAATGGCCACATAGGGTCATATGTTTAGATACCTGGCCAGCAGTTTGTGGAACTTTTGGAAAGGATTAGTGTGGCCTTGTTGTTGTAGAAGGTGTTTTAGTGGAGGTGGCCTTTGGGGTTTGAGATGTGAGTTCTTAGCTGCTCATGCTGCCCTGCCTTCTCTCGGCCATCATGGACTCTAATACTTGGAAACTGTACACCCAATGAATTCCTTCCAATTGTGAGCTGGCTTCATCATGTTGTTTTATGAGAGCAACTGAAGAGGAACCAAGGAAGACTGTGCCTTAGCTGAGTGAGGCAGCATATACCTCTATCTCTAGCATTGGGGACGGGAGGGATAAGCCAGTGATCACTGTGACTTTGAGGTCAGCCAGGACTATACAGCACAAAACTCAAAACAGCTCAATGTCAGACCTCTCAACAGTTCCTTTCCCATTCTAAGACACTCTTGGTCAGATAAGTGGGCTTCGTATTCTACTAATATTTTTATTCTTTTTTACAATGGATAAAGACTTGAGAACTTTCAGATTTGAGCACTGAAAAAGGTCTCCAGTAAAGAAAAGAAGATCTTGAGGCTGAAGAGATGACTGTGGGTAGACAACCTGCTCTGCAAACACAAGGACCCAAGCCTGAATCTCCAGCATCTAAGTAAAAAGTTGGGTGTGGTGTGGGTACTGCTAGCTTCAATACTAGGAATGAAGAAAGAATCACAAGAGTCACTGGCAAGTCGGCCTCATTAGATAGCGAGCTCCCTGATCAATGAGAGACCCTGTCCTCTAAAGATCCAAGAGAGATCCAGAGAGTGCCACAGCATGACAGCTAACTGCCTTCTCTGATCTTTGCATGTGCATAACCCATACATTAACACCCATAAATACATGCACACCAAGAAGGAAAATATCTTTTAGTCCTAGTGGTATTTTATTATAGTAGTAAATTAATTTGAAAATCTAAACTAAAAATATATGTAGGCGTTTTAAAAATACTGCCATAGTCAAGGAATCAGATAACTGTACAAAGATACATTATACAAGAAGTATGGTCTAAGTGTTTCAGCTTATTTGTAGCACACATTTAATAAGTACTTATCTTAGAAAATAAAGTTTGAAACAGCCCATAGTCTGTCTCTCTCAAATCAATGTCAGTTACATATCTCCCCTGAATCAACCAAAAATGTTCTCTGAGTCCTTGTCAGCCAAAGGTCAAATTTAGGGAGAAAATGTGTTTTCTCTTGAAGAGTGTACAAATGACTCTTCTCCCCAAGGCCCCTCTTGGGCTCATAGCAAATACAGCTAGGGGCAAGGAGAAGGTAAGACTACTTACGGTAATCTCTTTGGGGTCATCCTCATCTACCCTCCGAGGCTTCATTTTGGTGTAGTCTACAGGCAAGTCCCAGCAATCCCCCTCGCTCAGCTGGAAGCATCGGCTGCTCATCACTGCCTGCTGCTGGGGGGACATGGGTTCCAGGGGTGTCAGGACTGGGCAGCAGCTGTCTCGAGGCCTCTGTTTGTTCATGCTCAGGTCCAGGGTGCCATTCTCATCCACTTCCATGTCTGGGTTCTGTTGAAAGAAAGATGTCTAACTCAGAGGGCCTGACTGCCTTCCCATCCTTCCCTAACTAAGGATGACCATTATGTAAGACTGAGCTTATCACCCTCTATTTCCCCCTCATTAACTCCCAGGTGAACTATCTCGATCTGCAGGCATGCCCACTGCCACAGGCCTACCTGAGAAATTGCTTGGAAAACTCACCCATCCATTCATCTATCACCTTCTATATATCTATTCATTTGCCATCTATCTGTCCACCCACCAAATCTCCCTCCTTCTCCATCACCACTTCATCCATGTATTCATTGGTCCTTTCCCCATCCACCCACTGTCCACATATCTACCTCTGTCCTTCCATCAGACAGCAGCTTAACTTTTCCCCTGGTAATCTGTTGATGACAATAATTCCAGAATGGGGGAAAAGGAAAGGACTTGAATGTTGAAGAAAGAATGGAGAACGTGCTAGAATTTTCCTTCTGACATGAAATCCAGGACCAAGAGATTTCCATTTCAAAACAGGTGGTATGCAGAACAGTTCCCAAGGCCCTATTCCGGGGACCCTGCACTGAGCTGATCTGGATATCTCCATATCTGCTACTGAGTCCAATGGGTAAAAAATAAAAAGACCACACACACACACACACACACACACACACACACACACACACACACACAGAGCGTGCATGTCTTGAAATAGGCCAAGCTCATCAGTCTGCTTTGTTGGCAGAGGGGTGAAAGCATTTAGATGGCAGTGAACAAGCAATGTCAAAATAAACCTCCATTTTCTCAGGAAATGTCATATTCTTAAGGAAAAATGTGACCTCTAACTTGAGTGACCCTATGGCCTCTGATGTCTAGCCACCTGTCCCTTTGGATGGGAAGGTAAAGGGCACAAGGGACAAGAGTCCTTCATTGGAGCTGCACTCTTCATATATTTTTCAGAACTCTGAAAAAATATATGTGGCAGAACTCTGTCAAAGCAGCCTGGATTCCAAGCTTGATACTAATTTAGACATCATATTGCAGCCATTATCCTAATCTTAGTATTAATTTTAAAAAAGGAAAAACAAAACAACCTTGGTGGAGATTTCTATCTTAATTCTTGCGGAATGATGGCTTGCTTCTGCACTAGCCTTCAGTAGCCCAGATGCCCAGGAAGAGTGCATGTCCCCTGACACTATTCCACTACTGTGGAGTAAAACTATCAAACAAATGAAAGCATAAGGTTACTGGTCTTCCTCCCATCATATAAATCACAATGATTTATGACAACTACTTTGAGCACCCAGAACCTCCTGCTACACAGAGGGCAGGTGGTCAGGGCACAGGCTTCACTAACTGCCATACTGCTTCTTGCCTAGAGCCCTGGAGAGTTAGCTCACTCTCTTCCCTGCCCGTCCTAATGGCTTTCTCTTCTGCTCTGGGTGCCAGCAGCTCTGCAGTAGGCAGAGTCCCCATTTGGTGGAAGGAGAGACCATTTGCTGGTTATCCTCTGACCTCTACACATGAACCATGGCATACCTGCTTCTCTCCACACTCATTCATTCATACATACATACATATATACATACATACATATAAGTAATAGCTTAAAAGGAGAAATGGGTCTAGGTGTATTACAATCTCAAAATAAAAAGTAATTTTCATGATAAATACAATTTCTTTTAACAGAGAGAAAAATTAAACAGTAGACACCTTCCCTGAATGTAACTGTTTCTTGTAGTACCAAGGGTGCCTCTGAGCTAACAGTTTTGGCTGAGACCACAGACTATCAAGAGTGGAATCAGATGTCACTTCTTTGCTTCCCTGACCTGTGTGACCTACTAGGCATGTGGTGAAGGAATATATCTAACAATATTGCCATCAAACTGTCTTGTTTAAATGTCAAGCTGTACCTCTTTTTGGTTTGTGTACTATTCAACAGAGACACCATAAAGGTCATGGGTGATGGCTCTGCTAATGTCCCAGACACAAGTTAGAGTTGAAGGGGACCAAGGCAGCTGCCTACTGTTCTGAGGCACGGGGCTGTAGGGCTTGCAGTGAACAAAGTCATAGCCAGCTCCCATGGGCCATGGCTGGGGCCCTGGGCATACCCGGGCAGTACACAGGTCCTGTGGCTTGGTGGACAGGTTCTGTGGCATTTCACGGCAACGTGTGGACAGGTTGAGAATGGCTGTGGCTGCCATGTGTGCAGCCTCCATGTCGTGTGTGTAGTCAAAGCTGCTCTTGCTACACGTGCTACTGGCACTGCTGCCACCACCACAGCTGAGGTTGCTGCTGCTGCTGGGTGCATAGCTGCTGGTGGTGCTGCTGCTGGGGCTGGCATTCTTGCAGTACCGCTTGGCTGCAGAGACAGAAGACAGTGTGGTTAGGCCCTGCACCCAGGATGCTGGATACACAATTGGTCCTAACCCACCCGTCTTACACACACAGAAATGGGGGCTATTCATGAAGAGCCCAGATTCTGCCCCCTTCTACACTGTGCGTGTTTGAATGAACAGATAATTAGGATGATCCTTGGGAGAGGATCACCCTTGTTTTGACATGCTGCTCATGTCTGCTGCAGCATCTACCCACTTGGGTAGGAAAGGACTTGGCTACTGCGACATCAAGAGGTTGACCACTCTTTTTAGCCACATGTGGCTGTGGATACCAACTGGGGGTCAGTGTTCCCTATGTCATTGACCCTGATTCTCAGGATGTTCCAGAACCACCACTGAGGCTATTTTAATTCTATAGGCTTTGTAAAGTAAGTTTCTGGCAGTGTATGCATCCCAGCTATTGGGAGTCAAACACCTCCATTCTGAAATTCTTATACAGGCTTCTGGATTTAGAGGGAAGAATGAGCTTGGCTTGTACCCAAGGACAGAGACCTGTCCCTGCTGAGTGTGGCACACCAGAGGGCACCTGGGTCAGCTCTTCATTTGCCTGCAGGGCCTCTTTCCTTGCAGATACCTTGATTAGCATTCATTCATGCCAGCACCCTCATATACAACCAGCAGGTACTTGGGAGTAAGGGTTAATTTCAGAGCAGCTTCCCTGCCTCTCCTTCATGGTTGATTTATTAGGATGGGTCCTTTACACTAACATCGAAGCACAGCTAGTTGAGCTCACAGAATATTTATTTTCACCAAGACCAGATATTCCACATAAAGATGCCCTGCCCCCTCAGAGGGAGAAGTTATCTAAAGGGAACTGTTAAGAGAGCAGAGAGGCACTGAGAGGAGGGGCCTTATGGCTGGCCACTGCTCTCCTGGCTTATGACCTGAGGGTCTTTACCTGCTCTGTACATAGAGCATAATTTTGACAGTTGTCTTCCGAAGAGGAAGAAATACACAAAATGAACCATAAACCTTCTCACACGCCTAACACAGGCTTTGCAATCCATACTATAAAATTATCTCCAAACACAAAAGAGTGAAATGATCTTCACTGGTAATGTGAGTTTGGATTAAATGTTTCCTGCTTAAGACTTGGAGGAGGTACGGTATTGGGAAAACATTTTAATAAAACTCAGGTTACTTCAGATAAGGCCATCATGACCAGATCCTGGGGCAAGAGTGACTACTCCATTCTAATTTCAGCCACTACGCTAGGAAACAAATCACACAAACAAACTGTCTCATCCAGGTATCTTCTAGGGAACCACAGGCAGTTTCAACGCAGCTCGTGTAGGACAAGCAGCCACTTGAACACACTGTTAATTCTGCACTGTCAGTTACTTGATCAACCTGAGCAGCATAGAAGCAACTCCTATACTGCGTCGGATGAGGGGTCAGTGACCATCTGCTTGCTCTCTCCTCTGTTTTGTACATTCCATTAGCATGATTATAAAACTGCTTGTGTGAGCCCCTGAGTGACTGAGGACCGTACAGAGCACCAGGCAGAAGCCTGCACATGGGCCCAGAGGGTGACACATCTACAATGCTTTGAAATGTTGTGGATGTAGTCTCTAGTTAATGATTCTGCATCATTACATTTTTTTTTTGATAAAAAACTAAGAGCATGAGATCAGTAGAAAAACTCAATACCACATATGAAGTTGTCTCTAAGATAAAGCTCACCATAGAGTGTAGGCTGGTCTAGAATTGAAGAGCCTCCTGCATCTGCCTACTAAGTCAAAATGCTGGTGTTATCAGCATTTATCTCCTTGTTTCAACAAGGGTTTATCTTCTTTCCTTTTTAAATGGGGATGGCAAGCTAGTGGTCCAAGAAAAAAAGATCATTTTTTTGTTTGTTTTTTTTTTTTTAATTTTTAATTTTTTGTTTTTATTTTTTATTTTTTTTGAGACAGAGTCTCACTATGTAGGGCTGTATCAGGGCAGGAGGATGATGCTTCCACTCAGTGCTGTGTAGTGCCCCTACTCAGGTATGTTGGCACAGATTTAGGGGAGAGCTGGCAGGTGTCTCTGGGATTTTAGCTATGTCCTGCAGCATCCTGTCTCTTGATAACTGCTTCTCAGGCCAAGTATACCAGATCTCTAGCTTCCTAACTCCCTGTGGATGCTGCTATATACCCACCTCACAGATGCAGATGCAGACACTGGGGCTGTTGAGGGCAGGCAGCAGACACAGAGAAGCACCTGGGTGTCAGTCCAGGAAGAATGTGTCCTGTTCTGCCCCAGCATTTTATCTGCTCAAAACCACTACAACTGTTGGCAACAACTTATCAAACCAAATCTTTAAAAAGACTGCATGTCTCTCATCTTCCTTTGATCACGTTCCATCATCATTCTGTTGTAAGTGTGAATATGGTGCAGCATGTACTTTTCCAGAAGTTTAAGTCATGGAAATGATGCCTGCACTCTGACAAGTGGGGAGTGTAGAAGGTTATCGGGTGACTGAATTGTCAGCAACGTCTACATGCACCTGTCAATTTCTATCATTCATACTGCTAGGGTCATATTCACATCTATATTCCTCCTTTTACTGAGTCTACATAGTGATTTTTGTTTTATGTGAAATAAAATTAACACTAAATGTACTTCAATTCAAGTAAACGATGCCTTTCACCCTGCCAACACCACCATAGTCACAGAACTGTCAGTCTGAGTCACTAAGGCCACCACAGCATGGTGTTCATTCATGATACTGAGGCCAAATGTACTGCCCAGTGAGAGCGTTTGCCTGGGATGCCCTGTTACCGTCTTCCCTCATGTCTGATCAGAGAAACGGCATATTACACTTTCTTTTTCCTTAGCAACAAGTTCTATTTCAGAGGAAACTATGTATCCTAGGTATCAGCAAATGAAGGGAAGAAAATGTGAAGGCTTCTTTCCCAGAGGCCACCAGTGCTTGATAGCCAGGCAGCCACATTGATTGCCACCTTCAGACTGTATTCTGTCCCTGGCTGAAGACAGAATATCATCATAGATCCTCAAGGCTGAATAAACATGGCTGCCTTCGAAGACTGAAAGCCTAGTGGCAAAACCAACAAGAAACCTGCAGCTAGAACCTCCTTAGAAGCCTACGCTACCTGTGGAAAATCTCATGTTCCTTTGAGGTTTGTTTCTTTTTCATTTTTCAGTTTCCTTCATGGAATAGACACATGACCATAGAATCAGCAGTTTCCATGAGAACTAGACAGGTAGGAATATAGGGGACACTGTTCACTAAGATGGGTGCTTTTAGAAGAAGGGCTAATTCCCTTAGCCATTAACTTTTTGGTTGTATATTATAAGCAGGCAGAGATGAGATAAGGATTCAGAATATTCCATGGAAAACACAGTTTCTGCATATGTTGGGGGACTAGGCCTTCAGAATGCCTGATTACTACCTCTGTCAGAATCCCTTCTGCATGCCCATTGCCTTCCTGACCCACCCTCCATGAGAAGGTCTGGAGACTCTGAGGATCTGAGGACAAAGTGGCACTTTGTCCACTGAGAGACACATACTGGTGTAGTCATGTGTACATAGATGATGTCCCAGTGATGAGACACAGAGATGCACTGAAGGTAGGTAGTGTGTTTGCAAAGGACACAGTAGCTGCTGTAATGGGATGGAAGGCAGCAGCAAACTTAAGTGGTGAGCGTGCCCAGAAATGCAGCACCCAAAGCTAGCAAGTTGTCAAACATTTAAGCTAGTAGGTCCAAGCAGGTATCATTTTAAGTCCTGGGCTGTGTTATTGACCTAGACATCAGCCAAGACCATAATACAAGTGAGATAGAAAGTGACCACAGGCTCATAACCATAGCAAAGGAATTTTAAATCTCATATAATTTCCATGTTGTGAGAAACCCTTCTTTTGATTTTCTTGTTAACATTTAAAGGCATAAGAGCCATTCTTAGTGCCCGTGACATTGGGGATGGAGATGATAACTTCACACTCATGGACTGAGCTGTCCTTTCCCTCCCTTCCCATCTCATCCCCTTCCTATGTGAGGTTTCCAAATTCACTGTGACAGACAGCATGTGGAGACTGTTCTCTCAGCCCCTATGGCTGAACCTTGCTTTTCTTTCTGGACTCCTTAGATCACCTTCATATTCTGAAATCCATGGGCATCCCTGAACATCAGGCCTACTCCAACCCTGGAGCCAAGTGTACAATTTGCCATTTGGTGAGACTCATCCAGTTCTTCAGACAGAATGAACCATGCTTCCCTATGCATGAGTGCATGTCACACACTTGGATGTTTCATCTCACTTCGGAACTCTTCTGTCAAGAAGGACATACCAAGTAGCCTAAAGACTGATAGACAGCAACCACTGGTGAGGTATCTGGGAGAAGCAGATGGTTGGTGGAAGGCTTTAGGGGAGACCTGGTAGTTGACGAGTGGATATCCAGGCCCTATGGCTTAGCTACATCACTTTGTACTTCCAGTCAGTGTTCCCAGTCCTTAAGAACTATACATTCTATATCAGGCCAGACTCTCTTATTTCTCTAAGAGCAGTAGGTATATTCATTTTGTGCCTGAAAGAAGTCTGGGGCAAACAGGGGGGTGTTGCCATAGTCAATTACAATGGAATCTACCTTTTGGTACTCAGGCACAGGGGTGACTTCCTTAGGTGGGGGTCTCCTATACAACCTTATGATTCAGCACTGTTTTCCAGGGTGAGCCCTTTTTAGAAATAATTGTCTGCCAGCAGAGACAACAGGAGAGAACTAGGGCTTTGCTTTGCTTCCTCAGAAAGCTGTAGTGGAAGGCTGCTATTCCCTTTTTCTTGATTTCCTAAGAATCTAATACTCGGGAATCTGATGTTGTTTCATTGAGTATGCTCAACAGACTTGTCTTTTCTGGTGGACTAATGGAAAGCATGACTTATCCCAAGTTCACAAGCCAAGTTTTCAAGACAGTTATCTGTCTGGGCTTGAGAGAATCAGGACCAATAAATATACCCACTCCTGCCTTTATGGTGGAAAAAGAGCACCCACAAACCACCTTATCACTACTGATCATCACAGTAATCATGAGCAGAAACTCTCAGTCCCCCTTTACTCTCAAGGAAGTGAGTTCACTAGAAGATTCTTTGGTCCAGGACCCTGTAGCCCATAGGGTGAAAAGCTGAGGTATCCCAAACAGATCCACTCAAAGTCCAGGAAACAGTATGTGGCTCTAAGACATGGCCATGACTCTCTGCATGTGCCCAGGATAGTCAGTAAGGTAAAAAAAGAAAGCCTCATCAAGTTGCTTGACAAAACAGTGTCCTGGACTACAGACTTGGAATAGGAATGAGAAAAAGAACATCTAATGAAGAGATTAACTCAATCACCATGCGCTGTCAATGGATTGGAAAGTCTATCAACTGGGTTTACATCTGTGTAAAGATAATTGATAATTTCATTTTGAACCTTCATTTGCATCTGAGTGAGCAAATTTTGACACCTGAAACTAGCAGGCAATTATTACCAAACAGAAACCCAAAATACTTAGTTCCATGATACCTGTAGCCTTACTTTTGTTCTATGTGTATCTATTTGTCTGAATATTAAAAGAGTTGATGAGACACATAGACAATCAATATGTGAAATGTCAGCTAAATATTAAATTTCATTCACAAACAAATTACTTATTATCTGTATAAGAAAAACACAGCTTAGAAAGGTATACAGCATCTTATGTTGTAATGTTTTTGAATCCCCAGACCTTTCTTTTAAATACTTTCCATGTGTGTGTGACTTTAAGTATCTTTTTCAGAGAGGGGCTCTAATTCTTTAAAATCCCCTCTTTTTCCATCTATAGGAAAGTATCAAAGGAGACTCTGACATCATCAGATGACTTGAAGTTATTTACACCATCAGTTCTAAGAAGACAGGGACACCAAGGCTCAGGGTCAAATGCCCAATACTGAAGTTGACCTTCCTGATATCCAGATAGAGACTTCCTGATATCTAGATAGAAAAGGAACTCAGGCCAGGTTTGCTCAAAGGGCTGGCTGGCTGGCTGCATCAAGAGTCCTGGGTAGCTTTTAAGACATACTAGTACACAGAGGATCTCTAGGGATCCACCTTAACTGGTCTAGGGTACAGCCTGTACATAGACCTTGAACAAGGCCCTCAAAAGCTTCTAATATGTACCCTTGAAGAACATTACCAATGTGGAACTTCTCAAAATAGTTCAACCTGTTCCTTCCAGTGAAACTTGTCTTGGGTATCTGTCTTTTAAAAGGCTCATTAGACAATGGTACCAGCTCAGTCACACCCCAAAAGACAGAGAGCCCAGGGTCTTGTTTGCTATATCCTATAAGCTGCCAGAGGCCAATGACTTGGAGTCATTGCAGAAACAGTGCCCCTCCTGGCCACGGGTGTCTCCACCTTCCCCTCCTGGGCCTGAGGCATGGAGCACAGGGCTCTGCCATGTGCGCCGTGCCTTTGACACCCACTGGGTGAGTATGAATAGTGGCTGATCTGCAGGACATGGATACACATAACAACAACATCATCAATGGCAATGTGTCTCTCATGTATAAGAGTGTGCACCTCCTACCATCGTCATATCCTTTGGGGGATATGTCCCTGGTTTGCACCTTGGGAGCTATGGCTCTTTTGCCATAAGTATGGTTGTCGTAACTGTTGTACTCAAACGAAGTCTTGGAATATTTCTCGAGCTCCTTGGCCAGGTTGGAGCGTGGTGTGGTTGTGGGGACATTGTTTCTGTAGCCATACTGAGGAATCTCAAGCTGTTTGACAAAGCACATTGGCCTGAAAATAAGCAGACAACAAACATCAGCTTGCTTTCCCATGGCAGTCCATGAAACATGATTAATGTTCATCATAGTACAATATGATTTCTTTCATCTATCAAGGATTCAGGACCTTTCATTGATTAGACTTTAGTCTTAGTTCTAGCACCAAAAACAAAAACAAAAAACAAAAAACAAAGACAAAAGGAAAAAAGACAGGCTGATTTATATATATCCCAAATAAAGTATCTGATTAAAAGTCAATACTGGAAATAAAAACAAGTAATAGAGTACTTTAAATGTATTTTATCATTTTCTTTCATTTTCAGGAAGAATGGTGGTAAAATACTTGGTTGGGGAAGAATCCAATATACAGGCATTGCATTTGTGAGGGTTACAAAGAGTAGAGGAATCAAACAAATGACTCTTAAAAATAAGAAGAAATAGACACACATAGGGACATAGAATGAGACAAAACTGGGTCAGGATTTATCTACTTGGGCACTAAAATAGAATTGTAGGAAAACCTATGATCAAATATTCATGTCTTTATCTAGGAGTCCTTTATCTTAGACTTTGGGATAAAATATTTAAATGTAGTAGTTTTTTTATTCGTATTCTTTTACTGATGTTCTGCCCTGTGTCAATTTCATAAGTGAAAATCACTTACAATAAAAGAAGTTGAACATTGATCCCCTTATAACCTTTAACCAATTTCTGTTCTGTATAATAGAGATGGATATGTGTTTGCGCATCTCAATCTCAAGTCTTAAAACTTTTTCTAAGGTAAAATATTGTTAAAAGTACTTGCAGGCAGGCATCTCCATATCGTCACCACTTTTGAACAGTGTATCTATGTAAAAGCTTTCTTCATTTCAGAAGGGATTATTGATCATTCTGTTTCCTATTTATGTCAAATATATTTTTGTTTTTCAAAAAAAAGGCCTCAAGAAAAATGAGTGTTATGGCAGGGAAAAAAAATAAACAAACAAAAAACCCAACAACATATAGTGAACCACGTGATTAGCGCTGGCTCACAGACTATTTACAAAGGTCAGTCACTGATGACAAGAAACTTTTTCTTGTTCAGTGGACTCAAACTTGAAAATCCTGCCCATACCTCACTGGAAAATACTGCCGGTTCGTCATCCTGAAACAGCGCTGCAGCCGCCACCACACCCAACTAGGAAACAGCCCGTACCTCTACTGGATATACCGCTTGTTCCTCGGCCGGATATACTATCTGTCCTCAGCCGGAAACACTGCCTCCCCTTAGCTGGAAATACAGCCTGTTTCTTAGCCGGATGTACTGTACTTCTACCGGAAACACTGCCTGTTCCTGCCGGAAACACGGCCTGTACTCAGCCAGCTGGAGACAAGGCCCATCAGCCCGAAATATGGCCTGTCCTCAGCTCAAAGTACTCCATGCGCACTTCAGTGGGAATCACTTCCTGGACTTCCGGTGTGTAAAATGGCAGCTGCAGGACGGGCTGGCGCGGCCACCTTCGTGAGGGTTTGTGGGAGGCCAGAGAGCAAAGGGCGCTCGCTCTCCTTGAGACCAGGGAGGTGTCCCTGAGGCTCAACCTGCATGTCTGGCTTCCACAGTCTCTCCAGTTCATTGGAAACATGTTTAGAATATATAAAAACTGCTAAAAGAAATAATAACTCAGAATTCTTTCAGACGTAAAACTGTTGAAATTTTGATATAATTTTTAGTACTTAAAACAGTGATATTAATTTGCCCTTGATTTCACACGGGATTTCCCATTTCTTTTAGTTGCTTATGTTTTAAAAGCAGCTTTTGTGGTGTAGTATTAGAATAAGAATGTTACATTGCCGAGCTATTTTCTTTAACAATTTCCCACATTTCCTTTAGCTATGGACTCTGCCTCCTTAAAAAGCCTTGGTGGACTGAGAGGTGGGGAAGAAGTTGGACAACTTGTTTGGTATTCAGTCATATCTGCAAAGTGATTGTGACAGTAAATAGGAAACTGAGAGGCAGACAAGAGGTTCATCTAAGTTCCCATCATAATGCAGAGAATATCAAAAGTCAGAGAGGGAGAATAGAGGGATTATAGCTATTTTTAGTTTCTTATTTTTGTTTAAATGTTTTAATTTTTCTATAAACATTTTAACTTTTTATCAAAGGAGGAAGGAACTTTAATTAATTGCAAAAAAAACCCATGAAATACTAAATGAGGACGAAGAAGACATTCCTATTTCTTGCCTAGTGATTTCCTCTAAGTAACTTATCCCAAAGAAATACCTTTAGTAGAAGCCAAATGCTGTATCTATAGGAAACTATTCATCACTAGTCTTTAGAGACAGCCTGTATGCCTCTGAGCTAGCACAGAGTTATGGCTGTGGTATGACATTCACTTAACTGGGAATATTCAAATGAGAACATGAGGATGATAGCATTTGTATGGGGAGACATTGTCATGAGACCGAGTAAGCAAGCAGAAGTACACAGACTGTCATAGGTTTCATGAGATGTGTGTAAAGTCTGTGAGGAACATAGATGTCTTCCTCTACCAGTAATCATCTTCCCAATTTTGGATAATGGGGTTCAGTCTTGCTCCTCGGGACTTTTCCACTTTAACCTGCAGTACTAAGTTAAGTAGTCATGAGCCCTTGTGCTCTGTCTTGCCTGTCAAATGGCAGTGATGCCACCTACTTCCACCCACGTCTCAGTGTGAGGATGAGGGATGATGACAGCTTTGATGGCTTTTCATACAGAAAATTTCCAAGCTCAGGGAATGTGGCATTCGTCATTCTTGCATTTTCAAAAAGACCAGAGCCACCTAGAAGCAGGTGCTTTACTTTGCTCCAAACTGGGATAAAATTATATTGGGCTACCAACATTACTAATTTCTAAAACTTCTATTTTATTTAGCATTCATAGAACTATGAATTGTCAGGGTTACAGATCACATAACTATATCCAATTCTCTCACTGCTGAAGTCACACTGAGCCACTGGAGACCTAGAAGTTACATTGACCGCCAGGCTTCTGCATAATCTTTCATAGGCCTCAATTTCTAATCTGGCATGTCTTCGCTCTGCCCAGAGCATATCTATTCCATGGAATGTCCCCAACACACTCTCTGCTTTGTGTCAGGATAGATTCTGAGGGAAATTCATTGAGGACACACTTCTGTTGAGTACCTGAGGACTCGGTCTGAGGCCTGGTTGGATTTGGACACATCACAGCTCTGGTGTTTCTCTTGGGCCTTTGCCAGTTTTTCTGCAGCAGCAATAGGGCATCCAGAGAGGCTATAACACAGAAGATAGATTTAATTGAATGGTCTCAAATGGCTTGTCACATATGAATGACACCCACCATGTTCTGTCCTTCAGCCAGCTAAGATGACCCTGAGGTAGATGGAGCTAGGAGAATTTCCCAGCCTGCCTGGTACTGTGTATTTCCTGGTCTCTGGCACATAGCTCTTATGACAGCACCAGGCCTGTCCAACGAGCATGCCAAATTCCAGGAAGCAAATACAACACAAGCTGGTTAAAATTTCAGGCAGAAATTTGGAGTGTTGGCCATTTCTGCAGACCAGGCAGTGGCAGCTAGGGAAGGAGTTTTTGACAGACTCAAGAGTGGCAGTTAGTTGGCTATACCAGAAGGTGGCACTCTGAGCTGATTCCAGAGGTATCTATCTACAAGGCTTCAGGGATTCTGACTTCATCTCACTAAAAGAGGGGAAAGAAGGGAGGTACAGCAGGAACACCTCCAGGAGGACTTCAGTCAAATGTGATTCATAACTAGTTCAGCTGGGTCGCTGTGGCAGAGGGAGCAGTGAGGCCTCTTTGTTTGAGCTGCTTCCTCAGGAAATCATAGTATTTGCATGCTTGCCTTCGTGTGGTGTAGATCTGTAAGGGTGTCCATCCATCTGCACACATGTGCTGATGGCAGAAAAGGAACTGACACTGCAGGCTCTGCACAGCACTCAGCAGGGATCTCCTGTGTCATCGCTGCCAGCTCCTGCAGACTCAGTACCAGAGAGCCTCCGAAGGGTATAGAGCTGTGGTCTGTTTCATTATAAACTTAACACTAGTAACCGAGCTGCTTGTTGTTACTAACCAGTGAGACAAAAACTAAGGGATATTTTACAGCTTCCTTTCCCCATTTAAGAGGAAACCTAAGCCATGGCAAGACAAATCGTAACAGAGTTGCATTTTGCTACTGCAAAAGAAGTGATCTGATATCACCTGGATTTTCAGAGGAACTTAATGACTCTTATAATGTCTGTAGAGGATGGGAAGAAAGCCCAAACACCATTAAGAGTACAATTCTGATGAGGAATACTTTCAGCAGTAGTCCAGTTAAAGCCATTGACCTGGAGCAGCATCCTCACTGGTGTACTCTACCAGATGCGTATGAACATCTGCTCATATTTTAATCATGTCCATGCTGATGGCCAGGTGATTCATCAAATTCAAGAGCAGCCAAGTTAGTCATTTGGATTAGTCTTACTGGGTTCTAGTTTACCACCCCGCATGGTAAGTGGCATACAGCCTATCCTATGAGGGAAGGTGAGAGAACCTTGCTGGATTCCTTCTGGTCACTCTCATTGTAAGTAGCCATGGGTTCCACCTTAGATGCCGTACCGAGTAGGGGACTTTATGAGGGAACAGTGCTCTATTATACTAGAGGAGGCAACATAACTGAAGAAATTAAGTCTTCAAAAAATGGGCGACTGAGCCATTGACATTCCTTTACGTGCTCTGACTGACTCTCTAGGAGCAATGTGTGAGGTACGTCAGTCTCCTTTGGAAAGGAGGGAATGCATAGCAGTAAAGAGCTACCATGGGGCAGGGCTGTGGGTGGCTTCCTCTAGTATAGACCCCAGCAGAGTGTGGCTTACCTTCTGTGCGAGTTCCTGTTGCTATTCACATGCCCTCGCCCTGTGCAGCCTGGAGTGGGACACTTGAGAACATTTTCATGCATGGCAAGAACTTGACAAAGGAGAGGCAAAAAAAATAGCCCAGCATTAAAAGAGAGAAATGATGAGAATACAATATGCAATTGTTTCAACAGGATAGATTAGATTACGACAAACTACAAACGTCTGTGATGTGCATGACCAGGAAACATATGTGGGAAGAGAAAGAAGGTTGTATGACTGTACTCAGGCATGCGAAGCAGGGTGCATTGGCAGGGAGCCATGGGGGTCAGAGAGCGCCATAACTGAATAGCCCCATGTGGGACAGAAGCAAGGGCCACCCTAGTGTATCCCATAGATAAGCACTGGATGCTGATCAGCCATGTAACAGCACATAGCCTGGGCGTTTTAAAAAGCATGCCTGTGCTTTGGAAACACATGGGATTGTGAAAGTCTGATGTGAGTGAGCCAAACTTTAAACCTTGTTATTTAAATAAACCACGCTTACTTAAGAAATTAGTATCCTTTGTGCTTTCAGTAGACTGAACAGGAATAATAAGACCTCTGCATTTTTACCACATGAAATTAACATATAAGAAGATGAGAGAGCTGGTCCCCAGGGCATGAGGACGCTGCCTGCTGGCATCCAGGGAGGCTGGTCCTTATTGCTCCATCCTCTGTCTGCTGAGGCTTGTGGGGTTAAGAGTGCTGGAGAAGTCAAGACAACTGACTCCAAAGGAGCCCGCTGGCCACATGCACTATCAGTCCGAGCTAGATATCTGCAATGCTCAGTCCTAACTGCCTGCAAAGCTTGCCTCCGGTCAAGTGGTCCTGTGAGGTCTGCTCAGCCCTGTCTGCTCACACCTGTCACTATCGCCCATGGCTTTTCTCCTGTGGAGCAGTCACTGTCCTGCTGGGCCCTGTGTAGAGTTTCCACATGCTGTTGCTGTTGTACCTGTCCATGTTTGGTGTCTTTGCTATTGGTGAATTCCATAAAAAACAGTCTATTGCTGTTTTATTCTTAAGCTTTCATAGCCCCTGCCTTTTCTTTAGATATGGCTGAAGTTCAGTAAATATGAACTAAGGTGGAAATGTCAGCATTCTGCTCATTTTTCTGTGGGGATCTGCAGGGGGCCTAGGAGATTCCCTTTCAGAGGAATCCCTATCGCTGAGGAAGATATTCCCCGCTCCTTGAACTCTGCAATCTTACTAGTCTATTGCCTTGTTAGAATGGCACAGGTTCCTCTTCATCTTAACACATGCCTTTCTTTCTCTTTATGCTAATTTCTATTATAAAATCTTCCCGGGAGAGAGAAAACACCTTTCAGGCTTAGCTAAGTGGTAGAGTTCAAGTGTCTGTGTCCTGCTAAGTGGAGACACAGACACTATCTATGTTCAGTCCACATCTGTAGTGGCGTCTGCTTCCTCAGTCTGCAGGTTGCGTCTGTCAACTGTCTCAATCCATTTCTCCTCTTCAGCTTGTGGTGCCACCCCTCACTTTTCTCAGCCTTTCTCTGAAGCATCTATAGAATAGTTTCAAACAGGAAGCCCAGGGACCTCTAAGCCTTCCTCCTAGGCTCCTTTGGAACCTCAGCCATGACCTTCATACCAGGGGCTTTTGAGGAATGCTATTTTACCTGATTTGCTGCCCCCACATTTCCTTCTTTACCTCACCTTTCCACACAAGCCTATGTTTGGGCTCCTTTCTTTTGTTCCTACTTCATGCTTTCCCCTGACAACTCACTCCTGTTTTTATTAGTGCTCAAAAGGTGCCACCCAGGGTGCCACCCACTACACCTACTTCTTAGTATCCTCCCACACTACCTAGCACGCTTTAAGTCTATATTTTTGGACGGTAACAGAACTGTCTGGCTCAGTTGGGGTCTCCTTCTGACCTTTGTCATCTAGTCAGTGTGTTACAGTGTCAGAGCCCTTCACTGAACTCATCTAGGTAGGAATGGATGGGAAGCCAGCCCAGAAAACAAGCAAGGCTACCACAGAGCGCTCTCTTACTGCTTGCCTTTACATTTTGCAGTATTATCAAGAAGTACTCATGAGAAAGGAGTTCTCTGTACCTCCAGGCCGGGTATACCCTTTATGTAACAGGATCTCATATAGAGCAGGCTAGTGTCAAACTTAACCCTCCTCCTTTTATTCAAGTTCTGGGGTTATAGGACTGCACCATGTCTGCCTTTAGAAATGCTTTCCTTCAGACAGGAGTTTGTAAGACCAGGTCATACCTGAGCCACACTTAATGCCTGCTAAGATGGGTCCACATGTGGCCAACCAGAGCAGGCCTATTCAGTTTCTAGCTCAATAGAGCAAAACCCATACTTGAGCCACATCTAGACATTTCCTGTGAACATACAGTCAAGAAGACTTCTTGTCCATTGAAAAGGATTGATCTTGAAGGCAAAAATGTATGCCCTGGGGAAAAATCCCACAAAGAAAGCCTTCCTCCTGAAGCATTAGCTCTCAGCCTTGGTGCCTTATTTTATACTGAGAACCTGCAACATGCCTGATGCCAAGAAGCAGGTCAGAACTGAAATGGCGACACCAGGCCCAGGGTTTAGATTGATGATGGCTTTGGGATTGGCATGGATTTACAGCTGAGTTCAGAGCCGTTCAACTCCTGCTCAGATGAACTTTAAGGTACTGAGCCACCTATTGCCAGCCAGTGTGCTTCCCTTGAAAGAGAAAGAAGATGGAGTCAGATTGCCATGTTCTTCATCGATAAACAGGGCAGTGCTCCCTGAGGAGTTTATGGCATTGAATGGGTCAGTGCTTGCATTTGCCAGCCAAGCACCCACCACAGTGCTCACATGTGGAAGCCGCTGTTGTCAACCATGCGTCTCCCTGTCATGTAACACACGGGATTGTAGACACACCTGGATTTGTTTATTTTCACAACTTTTCATAATCGTTCTCAAGACAGTTACAGGAAACATATGCATTTTAGTAGGCATTGAGAACCCGGAGCCACGATAGCAGCTGAACATATTTTACCAGAGAATATGTAGCTTTCCCTATTTCTAATGTTGCACTACTTCCAAGAGCTGCCTGACCTCTGACAGGTTTGCTCCTCAAGGATTTCAAGGGTGCCCATGGCAACAGAATGTTTCTCAAAATGCCTTTGATTCAGCTAGTCATCTAGCCACACCATGAACCACCTCCCCCACAGGAAGCTAAAGGAGGACACTGCATGCTGTAGGTTCATCCTAGGCATCCATCACCTCCCTCATCCCTGAACTTCAATGTGTGCCTCAGACAATTGATTCTCATTGATTTTACACAGTTGGCATATTTCTTGCCAAGAAAAAGGTAAACAAAAAGGATACATGTCATTTTAAATCTAAAGGAAATACTTTTCACAGATTGATTTTATAGCCTCGGAACCTATCTACTAGAAAGATGTAGAAAGGTGTAAAAGAAAACCCCACCAGATCCAAACCTGTTCATTTAACATCTTTAGTGTGCAAATGTACCTGTAATGTGAAACAGACTGCAGTAATGTAACAAAACTGTTCTAAATGCTGCTTGGACAGTTTGCAGTAGTTCAGAAATTTGGACAGGAATCCCAAGGCCTCCTTTTCTTGGGATATCTAGAAGACCAGTGTGGATAGGTTGCTTTAGAGGCTGGCTAGTTCTGTTCTGTAATGTGTGAGACCAAGTAGAGAAATGACCGGCCAGGATAACAGAGTAAATAAAACTGATGCTAGCACCAGAGCCCAGGTGGGCCTGGGAGCCTATTCCAAGGAGTCAGGGTGAGCCACTCTTCAGAGCTGGTACCCAGAATATCCAGGAGATAGGGGAAGCTTCCTGAGGTGTCCTCCAGGCTGAGGAAGAGTCTGGTCAGTGACAGCTGCACTGAGGTGTCATGAAGATGAAGTTGGGGAAGGGATGATTGACAGAGCCAGAGTGCTTGCACGCCCCGGGGAGCGGCGAGACACGACTTACTTTCTGGAGGGACCCTATCTTTGTGCGGGCATCCAGACAGACTGCGGTGATGCGGGTAAAGCCCAGTTACGTGGCCGGTTCCATCACACCCGGGGGTTGGACACTTGCTCTCTCTCTTTTCTGTTCTTGAGGGATCTAAAAGCGACAACAGGTGTCAAGAAAATGAACGTTTACCAACTGCAGACTCATGCGGTTATCCAGCAACCTGAAGAGACCTTTGCTAAACAAAGAAATTAGGCAGGTGTCAGGGACAGGCTGGGACATCAGGCTTTTGCTTCATATCTTTTTGGGTGTGGGTGATATTTTTAACCTTATACAGTGTAATCAGGAATGATAAAGAATTTTGGTTTTTATCCAAAAGGAAAATAAAAGCACCTATCTCTAACCGTAACTCTTGATTAATTGGTTTCCCGTGTGTTACATGATAAGCTGTGTTGCTCAAAGAAATCAATGTAAATAGTGATGAGACAGTGGCCTTCTTAGAGAACAAAACTCCATATTGTTTTCATTTAGCAATATTTCCATACAATTCAACCAGAGCAAGGTGCTGCTCAAAGCCCTTCACCCTCTTTGGAGTGCTCTGGTCTCAATATGCTATAAACTACGGAATTTTCCTGCAGATTTTTCTCTCTGTGGTTAAGCAACACTGTTTCTTAGCATAGCAATTCAACCCATTTTTGGAAAATCAACTGAACTCTCAGAAGGCACTGTAAGCAAATGACAGAAAGGGTGGCGATCCCACCTGGCAGGGTGATGGGCAATCAAAAAACGCTTCAGAAGCCGCTGGAGCAACCATTTGTTTTGATTTCTTCGTCTGTACTTGGAACCAGAGGAAGGCTCGTGTAATGCTGTGCATGCATACACAAAGTAGGAGGTCGGGCTGATCTAGAACGCTGCCAGCTTCTCTGCAGCGCCAGCCAAGAGCCAATCAGAGCAGACGTTTGGTCCAGACTTGAATGCTGGATGCCAGAGATGTAACGATATCCTAATAGAGTTTTTCTACACCCAGATCAACCACATTTCACCCTCATGCATTATAACAATTCTAGAAAGTATTTCTGAGGTCAGCTCAGCCTGAATAATAAATAGTAGATTGTGACACACTGTTTTGGAACAAGTATTTGAAAATCAGTTGCATAGATCACCAATAGTAGTCATTATTTCATTGGTCCAGTGAATACTAGAGTTAAGTTTCCTCTAGATGTTTAGTGCTTTTATATGATAGCTCATTAATTAGGCCAATTGTACTTGGTAGAAAATACATGCTTTACCTTTGGTTAAGAATTATTTATATAGAAAAAGAAATACCTTGAGTTTAAATTTTGTTTGTTTGGGTCTTTTGAGACTGAATGCCACCCTGTAATCCAAATTGGCCTGGATCTCAACTATGCAACTCAGGTTGGCTTTAAACTCATGATAATACTTCTACCTCAGCCTCCTAAGTGCTGGGATTACAAGCATGACCCACTATACCTCTACTGCTTTTGGAATTTTTGAACTCTTATAGACTTACTTGTGTCACTTATGAGAATGTAAAATAGGCAAAAGACTCATGGGATCTACAAATGCCGTCGTATTGATGTAAAGATATCCCCCTTTCCTTTCTGCTAACGTGTCATATACATAACGTTCCTGTCAGGTGTTCTCTACAGCCAGCACTGTGGTGGAGCAAACCATTTTCTTGGCATTGCCAGCTGCTATCCTGCCTCTACCCTTGCCTTAAGGCCTCTCCTAGAAAACCCAAGAGTAAGTCCTGGCATTTCAGTTTTTAAAGCCTTATAGATACAAAGTAAAGGCTAGTATTTTGTTGCCCTTTGAGTAATTTCATTATACTGATAAAAGCAACCCCATGTCATTATAAAATAGTAAGCACACAGTAACAGTTTTGAAGGACAGTATTGATAATATAAAGTACTAAATTTAAGAAACTTTTAACTAGATACAAATGACTTGTACAGGATTTAAAAAACAACTTACAACTGTTAGTATTCACTTTAATCATAAAGTAACTGCTTTATAGGACCCAGTTATTTCTTACAAATAACATGATTTCACAAATGTTGGAACAATTTTGAAACTAAGTGACTTTTATATTTTAAGAAATGTCTCAGAACTCTGAGGTTATAGAGACGAGGAACACATAGTCTGCTCTTGCTTCACTGCTGAGATGGGGCTGCCGTCGCCTCCCCATTCTCTCCCTTGATTCCTTGTCTTTGCAATCTCAATTCAATGTTCAAACAAGCAGGAAAACACAGAGCAAACAAAAGGACCTTGCAATAACTTAACAGAAAAAAAAAGTATGCTGAATTCAGCTTATTCCCCTTCTGCCCTGGAGGGAGGGACAGGGAGCTGGCTAAAAGGCAAAAGAGTTCCTTTCATAGTAACTTACTATTTTGAAATGTTACATGTTAGTGCTTTAATGTATTTTCAGTTAAGGTGTGTGGAATGAGAGCAGCTACATGCGTTGTCTTTAAAGAGGGAACAGAGAAGCCACAACACAGCATGTTGATGGGCAGCTTCAGGCGTGTTGGTGAGATACAGTCCCATAAATTTAGCTATTTTAAAGGCTGGTTTTAATCTCTTTGCTCCTTTTGTGGTTTGCTTTTTGATCTCTCTCTCTCTCTCTCTCTCTCTCTCTCTCTCTCTCTCTCTCTCTCTCTCTCTCTCTGTGT